TTGTCCATCTAATTATTAACCAATACCAAACATTGTCCATCTAATCATTAACCAATACCAAACATTGTCCATCTAATCATTAACCAATACCAAACATTGTCCATTCCTCTAACTGACGCTGAACATTACATGAATGATGTTCACAAGCAGTACAGTGGAAATAAATTAGATAAAATATCAACGAACTATCTCTGAAAATAAAGCTCTAAGCAGCAGTTCTTGTATTTTATTGATGCAAAATCATAATAATTGAAAAGGAAAGACTAGTTGACCTAACTTTCACCTAAATAACTGTTTTTAGAACAGAAAGCAGCCATGGTGGAGTTGAATAGCCACAAGGTAAAGGGACGGCCAATGGTCAGAAAACAGGAAGAAATGAGTAGTACAATAGCACAAGTATAGTTGACAAGTTAGTCTCAGCAAAGAGACAGGGGGAACTGATTATATAAAAAAGGAACCTGGCCAAAAAACAAACTTGTCATATTCTGAATCACTTTTCACAAACTGAGAGTTGACTATCCCTCACTCTGAAAAATTTCATGAAGGTTTATAACAGTGAAAGAATTAGCATTTTTTATACCTTGTATGCTACAATGTTTGATAGTTTTTACTCCATAGGTATTCTATCATTGTGTAATTATAGTGAAAATTTGTAAGGTGATATATAAGAAATGTTTAGGAAAATTTAAATTATGTTGTCACATCAAACATTAAAGTTTTATAACTAAATCATTACTCTTGGGTTTTTCTACTGTCATCAACAAAGAAACCTGATTTTATATTTTTAACTAACATTCAATGCCATTGTTTACTAACCTCTATGCCCCCCAGTAGTACAGCGGTATGTCTGCAGACTTACAACACTTGGAACTGGGTTTCAATACCCGTGGTGGGCAGAGCACAGATAACCCATTGTGTAGCTTTGTCCTTAACTACAAACAAAGAAACTAACCTCTGTCAATATATTTTTTATGCTTGTGTGTGTGTGTGTGTGTGTGTGTGTATATAATGACAAAACTATGACTCTTCTTATGCACCACATAATCCTTACAAAAATGTATTTTTTTTTCTTCCAAGACATTATAAAAAAATAACCTATTAGACAGTATCGCTTCATATTGATCTAAACGTTTAATAATGACCGCATACAAGAGTATATGAAAAAATTTAAACTAATAAGTTATTTATCCCTATAATGATACTGGGTAGAAGTGCAGAACTCTTTGTAAGTGAAAAGATCCAATCAATGCAGTTGATGACAAACTTAAAATTTCTAGCTGGCTGCCATCTATGACATTTGATGCGAACTAAGCCTCAATGATTTTTTGTGGGAATTTTTTAGCTCTTCCCTCTTACAAAAAATGATATTACATAAAGAGATTTATCATTTTAAGAGTAAATCATGAACATAATTGAAGTGGTTAACCTTGTAAATTTGAGTCTACTTATGATTGATTTTATTTTATGACATATTAAAATTATTACAAAATTGCATGTTTACATAAAAAAACATTAAAAAAATATTACATTGTTATTTTATGACATTAAAATTACGACCAAATTACATGTTTACATAAAAAATATTGAAAAATATTACATTGTAATTTTATGACATTAAAATTACGACAAAATTACATGTTTACATAAAAAAATATTGAAAAATATTACATTGTAATTTTATGACATTAAAATTATGACAAAATTGCATGTTTACGTAAAAAAAACATTGAAAAATATTACATTGTAAAACCAAAAAATTAATCACTCTTATATGATGGTGAGTAACTATGCACAAAAGATTGAACACTTTAACCATATCATTTTTATTCAGTATCTGAATTTCATGTTGAGAAAGTAACTGTTTTAAAATTCATTTAATAAAAAAACTATTCAATGAGTTACCTAATTTCAATTAGTAGTGAAATCTTTAATGTCTTCGCTATTCCAAGAAGTTATTTTTAGAACATTTTATTTACCAATCTTGAAAACACGCACGTGGAACATCCTTTCAATACCCTTATAAAGGTGAAGTAAAACCTTAAGTTTTTGGCAAAAAAATATAT